TATGTTTAATTTTTATAAAATATTTATTATCATGCACAATAAATGCATATTAGGGTATTTATTTCTCTTCAAAAAAGTGCAAAACCGCTGCAACCTCGCCTTAAGTATTCGTACTTATGAAAAAAATAGAAAAAAAATATGCGACTAACACACGCAATAACAACTTTATTACTACCGAGTGCAATAATACTTTTTATTACCAAATAATAGAGGCGGAGATTTATACCTGAATGCTAAATAAATGGACGCGATGTAGCTTTTACGCATCCTTTATTTTTATGCTTAGATATGCCCCTGCCCTTGTGGCCGCTTTTAGGACGGACGCGATCGTAACCTCTTCAAGTTAATGCACTGTCAGCCCCATCTCCTTATCCAAGATATATGGTACGAGTACACCTTACTTCAATTTACCTTATTTCTTTTACCCATTTCAAAACATTTCCAAAAAAAGGGTTGTTGTCGGACATAATTTATCACATTTATTTGAGATGTGGCCCGCGACTAAATCAGCGTGGAATTTAGTTATTTTATACCACTTGTAACCAAAGCATTAAAGTAAATTGAAAAACCTTGATATGCCGAGATATGCCTTTTTCCCAACATCCGATTTTAATATTAAGCAACAAACGACTGTTGTTTGTTAAAATCAACAGTCTAACGTGTTAACATTTGAACCTGATGCATATTTCCTCAGCCCATCATAGCTATGAGGAAAAAAAAACATGTGAAAGCAAAAAATGTGTAGAGTTTTAAGTGATCGAAGATCAATCTACCTACAACTAGGTAGAGTCTTGTAAAACGTAACGTAAAGTGTATATATAATATAGTATATAACATATTGTAAGTACATTTACACAGTACAATAAAGAGACAATAAAGGCCGTCTGTCTACAACTACCAAAACTAGTTTTAAATTCACATATTTATTTCTTGTTCTATAAACTCAATATAGTTAATATATTAAGTTTTCCATTTCAACAAGCTGTATTTATCTTGGAAAACGAAACCAATATTGGCCAAGTGGACGTTCTCAGTTATTATTGTTTTAATATAGTAAAATTCAAATTAAGATAAACATTTGTGCTTTGACTAATAATAACAGCAGTAATAATATCAGGAGGTTTTGGCCAACTATATTATACTAAAGAATACATTTGCTTTAAATTCTCTCGGTTATTGGATACAAATAAATCGGCAATTAGCGAATATTATAGATAAAATAAGTATCGGCAAAACTTAAGATTAACTATTTTTTTTATTTCAAATTTAAAATGCTCAAAGTAAGTGCAACTCGCTTACTTTGAGCATTTGTGTGTCGAACTTTTGTGAGTCAAGATTTAATTTACTAGTTGAAGCTTTTTAAAATACACTTATTAGTTTGAGTAGTGTGGGGTTTTAAGAATAAGTAGCGGTATGTTTGTGGAATCAAATAGGAAGAATCTGTGATAGCGTGTATGTTGGGTATTGAAAATTTAAGGATATGCGCAACAAAGCACAAGTGTAACAGATGGTTCTTTTCCTCCGAGCCTTTTGCCCAAACTAGGCTGAGGTCAGATCTAAGTCTACTAGGCGATATAAGTCTAACGCGAAGAAATTAAAAAAATTAAAATATAATAGACCGTTTTGGTTACTTCTATGATACTTGATACATCACACTCCAAACAAAACGCCACACGCAGACTCCAATGCCTTCCTCTCTATTCAGAGCATAAACAAAACCTTTTATTATATCAAATTCTATGATACTCGTACATCCGACCAAAATACTAATTGTACAGCTGAACTCCGAGTAACACTTCATATTCCATAAATAGAGAGAAATTCATAAACTTATCTGAAAAGTTGTCACTCAAAGTGGCCAAAAATAATATGTGGCTTTCAAAATTATCAGTTTATCTATATTTGTTTAGTGAAGCACTTTATGTGTAAATGTACCACTCGAATGGATAGCTGCACATTATTCTATTAATAGTTAAAGGTTTTGAATAATGATAATATTCTGGGACTAATACACAGTAATAACTATGCCTAAAGTAAGCATAGCTTTTAGTGCGAGTGTTAAAACATGGATTAATATATTAAATTTTCTAATTTTTTTTTGTAAATATGTACTTGTTAAATGTTAAATTCAATAAAGCAGCATTAAGACCAACGCAAATAGAGAAAGAGTCATTAATCGATTTTCCAAATTTGACCTTGCAGTCACATGCACTTGTTAAAAAATTCTTTGTCATTCCCTGTGATTATAAGTGCTGTTCTGTAATTTGAAATATAAGATTAACGTATATAGACAGACATACATACAATTTTTTTTTAAATTTGGCTTAGTACGCGACATTTGATATTGCCGTCCAAGGCAAAAACGTTGCGCCTTTTAGGTTTTCAATTGTTTGGATGTTAGAAAATTCTTTATCAATACCTATCTCACTGAGTCATTTACAATATTGCTTTATCAGGGGTCCCAAATTAAGTTAAGAAGGGTAAAAAGCAGCCCTTTGGGTAACTACATTGATTGGCGCTGTCCACCTAATACGGTCTCTTCATTGATCATTCCTTTATATTTCTGAGCGTTATCGAATTTAACCCTTTTGATTGTTTGGCACGTTTTGGTCTTTTATAATATACCTATGTGTATGTACATTACCAAAAGATCCGTGAGGTTAAAAAGTACAAATTTATAACCAAAAGATTTGAAGCACAGGGACGTAGTAGATGAAAAATTATAGAATAGATAGTAATTATTTAAGTTTTCTTGAAAGGTTTTTAATAACAGAAAATTCTATGTTAAGTTTTATTTTTCGAATTTTTATCTAAATTACATTGTGTCATAACTTGACTTATATTTATTCGACTGTTTCTAAGAAACTCCGTACACGGGATAATTTTTTTGGATACACATTATTATGGTAGCGTAATTCATCACTCAGTTGAAAGTTAATAAAAATTATGAAGCAGCGATCACTCAAATACCAGTTTTATAGTCGCATTTTCGTGGGAAACCTTTCGAAGGCCCTTTATTATTAGCTTATTCAAAAATATTCCTATAAATAATGATGACATTATCCTATTTACAACTTTTGCTTGTAAAATATGATTAATTTTAATAAAACAAAAGAAGGTGTATTGTTTGGGAAATTTAGTTTAATTTATTTTGGTTAAGTTCCGGGTATTTAGCGTTAAAAGACTGGTTAATTTAGGATCCGGCGGCATCAGAAGTCATTACGTACGTACGTACGTAGTACGGGTATATCAGAAATACTTTTATATAACGTCTTACTCGTAGTAGGATGTGTAATTTTGCTTTATTTTGCTATCAATTCCCAAGATATTAATCAATTGCGGTTCAGAAGACTTCTGACTTTTCTGACAGAATGACTTTATTGATGACTTTGATATGATGTCATATAATATGACATCATCAAGACATAGTACTGACCTAAAATTTGACTTTTAATATTTAGACATAAATATTTAATCTAAAAAGCATGCAGCATCTCATACCGGCCCCGTTGGTAATTTATTGTCGAAAGACGTGATAGTTATGTAAGCGTTTGGACGCAACTTTACATCACTATAAATATTAACTAAAATCTATGTCATCTTGACGTTAGCTAAATGCAAACGCTAAAGCTTCATATGTTTGTAAGCATCCGGTAGCAACTTTACATGTCATTTTGACGCCAGTTAAGTCATAATGATATCATCAACAGCCTTTAACCGTCCACTGCTGGACATAAGTCTCTCCTTAGAAAGGTTTTGGCCTACTATACCACGCTGGCCAGACGGGTTGGTATAGGGTTTGTATCAAGTTTTCCTTCTCTCTGCAGTGCCGTTGTTTTGCGTATTTTTTTCCTTTAGTCGGCTCTTACGCAATCCACGGGATGAATAGGGGTGGTGACACGGTCTCTATTCTTAATCCGTCACCACACGGAAAACGATTTCAATTGGACGTTATGTAAAAATCTTACGTTAGGAAGTGTTAAATTATGAATCATATATGAAGTAAGATATACTTACGTAAATCACGACGTGACATGACGTCATTCTGACATCAGTTTGACATAATTGTATTCACTGGGTTAACAATTATTATTATTAACGCATTTGACGTAGGCACTCCATCATGCCCCCGGGCGTTGAAAGTACCACTTTCAACAACACTCCGAAGATACCGGTAATGGACATATATTATCCTGTTTAACGCCCTCCGTATTGTGCTAGTTGAGGTCTTGATGTCAGTAAAACGTACGATTCCGTCACATCTTAGCAGGTGTAGCATATTTTCTATTAGATGTTAAAAACCAAAAATGTCTGTAAGGTACAACAGATTTCCTGAATACGCTCGGCAACGCTCTCAACTTGTTTTTAATGTGCTTCTATTTAATTTCTTTTGAAATTGTACCCAGTACATTTGATTGAAATGTTTCACTAACGACACTTTCTATCGTAATATTTTTCACTAATAACAATAGTGAAAAAAGCTTTTAAGCTTCTAAAGGACTAAATTAAAAATTCAATCTAACAAAATATTATCGTGTTTTTTTTATATCTAAACAATAGTTGAAGTAGTTTGAAGGTTGTCGTAGCACAAACAAAAACAGAAAACCATCCCTAATGGTCAAAACTGGTTAATTCAGTTCATCCAGTATAATGTGGAGGAACTGTTTTATAAATAATTACCTTGTAAGAATTAAAATATTACCGGCTAAAATTCGCTTACATTATAAAAATAAACTGAATTTTTCATTCCTGAATTATACATCCTTTGGGCTTGTATATTTTGTCTAAACTAACCCTAAGATAATTTTCGAAATTGGTTAACAATCACGGAGTGTGAGAACTAGTTAGGAGAGAGAAATAATTAGGGCTTATATATGCACAGAAAACACTTGCCTGACAGAAATTCACGAATTGTCTTCTCTTGTGTATATTTGTATTGTTTACACTAAGCACGTTTGGTTTTCGGTTTGATAACACGTTTTTGTTTTCACGCCATCTAGCTTCAAGTGGCAGCAACTATTGCTTATCAACGAACCGGAGTCGCAGTTGCACGTCGCTGGCAAGTCAACCTGCCACCTCATGATGAAATCCTTTGCCAACTTCCTGAAGGCTGAAGAAATCATTTATACACCATGGGACACGACATCTGACGGTGGACTGAATTACACGGAGAATCTGAAGTTTTACCTCGGATATAAATATACAAGTAAGTTTATTATAAGGTTAAAAGCTTTTCTGTCCTGCCATCTATCGAAAGTTTGGGTAAGTTAAGGGTGTGTTATAGCAGTTTACATTCAAAAATATAGGTTGCGCTGCTAGGTAGGCTAGTTTATAAGATTCGTTGTACTTGCTATCCGTTCATAGATGGTGATAGCGATAATTTGTTCTTAATAATCTTTGTTATCTACAGATTCGAATGGGGGCGCGTCGCAATTCTATTTGATACACATGCTTATAGACCAGTAGTGGGGGCTTCAGGAGGCCATCTTTTGGCTGGCACTATCCATCACTATTTAACCGGTTATGGATATGACGCGTTTGGAAGAGAAATAAATGCGCAACAGGATTTTAAAGAGGTGTTATTGCAGACTGTTGGGAACGATTTCGCGAGTGAGTTAATTTTGGGGAATGGATGATTTAATTATAAATGGCTTGGTGATTATAGAAGGGTATATAAATATTTTTAGGGTGTTAATATCGAATAAAGGCCTGTTATGTATATATATATAATTTAAACCAATATTACTTATGGCATTTAATTTTGAAATTCAATAGTAGTGAATTTCAAAAAATATCATTTGAAATCCAAATTTCAATGTGTGTTCCTTAAGATGAGAACAGGTCATAATTTGAACATGTTAACACTTAGAAAATGCATACCCTTGTCACGCCTGTTTGAAATATAATCACGAGTGATCAATGATTTTTATGCACTTATTTTGCACATATATATTATAATGTTAGGGAAGAAAAAATAAGTTACAATGTTTTTTTATATTTATTCCGGCATTTTAATGATGAGTCAAGATTTAAAACTTTCTCATGTTCTGTGTAAAAATATAGTTATAGGCGTATAAAAAGGTTCGTCTTTATTGGCTCGGTATGTTATATTAAACGCTTTTGTTTAATAAACAAATAAGTATCAAAATCAAAGTGAGCTTAATTTCAACAAAAATCGCGTACATTTCAAATAAGAATTTGTCTAACCCAAATTTTATCTATTATATCTATTTATTTATTCAGAGTCTAGCTCATCTAAACCTCAGAAATGTTTATTGATCTTCAAGTTTGAATAGAATTAAGTTATTTGCTAGCTCATAACCAGCGCACACCTGCGTCTGTGATACCAACCATCATTAATGTTCGCAAATAAAATGTTTTATAACATTACTTCATGAGTAACACTTGGGTCCCGGTGGCACGGAAATGTTACATAAATATTGTTAGGACGTCTAAAGATTTAGGCATTAAGCAGTGTGACAACTATATGCGATTATTTTTGTTATTATCTGAAACGTTATAGTCATCTATAACGTTTCAGAATATTGAATTGTTTTTACGGAATTAAAATAGCAAGAAGAAAAGGAAAAGATTGTGCTCTACAATATTAAATACCAATAGTTATTAAAAAAAAAACTATTTGGAATATCCATTTAATGAAAAACAAAGACCGTGATAAATTTACTGTGAGATGTGTATTTAAAAATTCCTGGCATGTAAAATAACTAAAAACGTTTTTCTATGTTTATATTTATATATGAATTTCGTTGTCTAAGCATTGAACACTAATTACCTAATGTTTATTCTGTGATAATAAATGATTTACGATTTTTTTTAAGATTTACTTTGGCCGCAGTATAGTATACGAGTATAAAATTAGGTCTAATTCATTAAAAGAAAGTGTGTACGTATTATGATATAAACTAGACGGTACCGACAGTATTAGTTTTTATAACGTAATAATACGAATATACCATTGCTATAATATTTATCAAGGTTTCAACAATTACAGTGAAAACTGTTCAATCTTTTACCAATTTCCTTTTAAAAATTAAATGTAACTTTTCTACTGATTCCCCCTAATTTACGTCTCACGAAAATTGCTTTGAAGTTGAAACGATATTTTCTATGGGATATGAAAATATTTTCTAATGAAACGTCAAGCTAAGACCGCGTCATGTGTCAGATTTGAAAGCCGAGGCTGTCTTGGTTTTCTGTTAAAATCTTTAATGTGTAATTCTTTTTGACATGACTTTGCCTTCGTATATTTGAGTCTTTTTCATCTTCTACATATATTAAAATGTTAAGTTGGTTTGTGTACGCTTCTAAATCTCAAAATGATTTGCACCGATTTAGATGATATTTTGACACGATATACAGCTCGCTAAGGAGATAGTTGTAATCTACTTTTCACCGCAGTTTAGTTTCTAATTTCTCATCAATACAAACACAATGTGCCAAAGTGAAGCGTTGCAGGGAACAGCTGCATATATATAATTTTGGTTCGAAGAAGTTTTACTTTTCTATTTAGGTCTTAAAATAAAATCTTTACAATGTTGTCGATAATTTTCTAGGTACTATTACTATTTTTAAATTTAATACAATTTTTTAAAATCGTTATTTTACTGTCATTTTCCAATTTTAAACTCCTTAACGCCAACTATTGGTGAAATTTGTCAAAGTCAAGTTCATTTGGGGTCAAAAGGATAGGGTCAGAGAGCTAGGGCAATACCACTAGTCTCGAATAGGAAAATGTGAGTAAAACTGCTGGATTGCTGACATTGTTGATAACCTCACCCATTAAGACAGGAATTTAGAAGTATTTGCCCTTTAATTTCATTCAAACATTTAGAAGCGTCAGTAGGCTCGGACTAGTTTGGGATCTGGCTGTCGTGTGTGAGATGTGTGAGATTATTATTATTATTTGATGTACAAATAAACTAATTTCTTAAAGTAATATGCTGTAATTTTTTAATTTACAGCCTTAACATGTTAATATTTGTGGACTTAAAATTACTCATTGTAAAATTTTAAATGTACTGTAACTTATGTGTACTCTCCAACGGTATCCAATTTTCACCTAACGTCTATTACATGAAAGAAACCTTATTGTTGCGGTGAACTCGTAGCATACATGTTGTATTTCAATACATACTTTATTTATTTAATATTAGATAAAGTAACCGTCAAAGCTTCGCTTAGGAAACTCCTTTTATGTTTCACAAAGAAAAATCTTACACAGCTGTTGCTGAAAGTTACAAAAACTACAGAGACCCCTTGATTATAAGTTCGTTTCTTTTTTGTTTAGGTCTAAAAATTTGCGCAACCGCCATATTGTATTATATTTTTTATAACTTCTAAAAGCGTATAATTTAATATAGTAGTAAAATGTCAAATCAGTTTCTCTTTATTAAAAATCAATCTCTTTATTAAAACTGTACGACATCAGGGTTTCGTCTTGTTATAAAATCGTTTTATTTTTATAGAACACTTATTATTGATATTTTGTATTATTAACATAATCAATAATCTATAAAAAATAATAATTATATATTAGTACGAGTATTAAGTTCATAATTGCGTGTAGACAGCCAACTTTCTTAGGGTAGGTTGCCTTTCATGTTATAACCTACGTAAGCAGGTACAAGCAGGTTCTCCGTGATAACTAAGTCGATTGATAAAACCTACATTATTTATGCGAGCGATTTCAAAGGTTTCTTTTTTAATGATATAAGGGACAAGCTAACAGACGGGTTACTTGATGGAAAGCGACTACCGCCGCCTATAAACGCCACAATTTATTCCACAGAGTGGTTGTTGGAGGCAAAATGTTTCATGAATTTAGCCGTAACGAAAAGGAACTTTAACGATTAAAGTCTAGCCGTAGGCTTCCAAACTCTCTTAGCTATTAGAGCTATGGTTCTTTTATCACTAGAATTTTTATTTTATGTCGCCTTCTTAAATTTTCTCTAGATAGGTGTCTTATGACAAAAATCTGCCGTAATTATAATTATATATAAATATAATTATATTATCCCCCCCATAAATGCACCTACCTCATTCTTTCAAAGCATCGCCCTATCGGTCGACTGGCAGAGAATGCCTTAGGCATTAAGTCCGCCGATGCATGTACTTGTGCAAAAAGTTATTAAACTGCACGGATGGCGTAGTGGTTTAAGCGGTCGCCACGCCGCTAACTACTGCGCCGAGTGTTGTGGGTTCGAACCTCACATGGAACGACACTTCGTGTGATCCACAATTTGTTGTTCTGAGTCTGGGTGTTCTTTGTGTCCGTATCATATATGTTTGTAAAGTCCCCCGCGACACAGGAATGTATTCCTACTGCGGGAGTTGTCTTTTTATATATAAAAAAAAAAGTGTTTGATTATTGTAATTTAGTAATGTCCGAATGTGACGAACTAAGAACACAGAGTTTCATCAACCCTATTTATCCCGTAGGTGTCGTAAAGACCGACTAAAGGAGCAAACTCTGCAGCACAACAAAACTGAAAAGAGAAGGAAAACTTGAAGCAAACCTTTTTTTTTTTTTTTAACGTGTGGAAATCCCCTCGGACCGTCACCCCACCGGGGTTTGCGGCGGGGTGGTGTGTCGGACTCGGACCGGCCAAAAACACACGGTGTGCCACTATGCGCCTGTAACAGGAGGGATCCGGGAACAGCTGTTATTAAGACATCCGGACCCCTCCTAGTGCCCGCCCGCTCCTGGTGCGGGCTCCGTCTCAAAATTTTTCCTCTCTTTAGGCGACGTCCGGCACACGCGGACGCCGCCCCCTCGCGGCTGGCCAAACTAATGCGGGTGGAGGGGAAACCCACCCCGTCCACCCGCGGCCACACTCAGGGCGGCATGAGGCAGTGATAAGCGCGCCTCCGCCGCCCGGTTCGCCGGCGGCGGATCGAGTCCGAGTGGAGGTCGTCCTCCCGGGCCCTCTCCGCCGCCTCCTTCTGCGAGATTACTTCCTCGCAGAAGGTTGCGACCGCGGTAAAACAACTGTCGCTACCGGCCATGGAGCGTACTACGGCCGGTAGCGAGAGATCCACTCCGATGACTGCAGTGAGGGCCCGGCGCTGCGTCGCCCATGCGGGGCAGACCGCCAGCGTGCGCTGGGACGAGTCCTCACTGCAGTCGCAGTGGTGGCAGGCGGGACTCAGTTCCCTCCTAGCGACCGAGTGCAGGTACTTTCCGAAGCAACCGTGCCCGGAAAGCACCTGCGTCAGCTGGAAGGTAAGGGTCCCGTGCTGCCGCCCTGCCCACTCGGCGATGACCGGCTGGAGAGCCTCCACGGCGGCGAAGCCAGCGCGTGGAGTCTCCAGCCGGAACGACCAACTCGCCGATAAACTTCGGCGAGCACTTTCGCCTTCAAATCCCACGGGGGAGTTCCGGCCAACGCGCACGCCACCTCCGTTGAAACGGTGCGGTAACCGCGTATGGCTCTGACCGCCATTAC